TTCGGAGCTGTAAGGATTTGGCTCCAGGGTGGCACTGGGAGCTGCTGGGCTGATAGTAGATCTGCTCTGGGTGAGAATTCACGATATTTGAACCTTTCTGTGCACCCCTTTATATTTGTGTGTGGGTGTGTGTGTAATTTTGTATTGTTTGTATTATGTTTTGTAAATGTTGTCCTTGTTAGTTATATTGAGTTATATAAACATTACTTGAAGCTCTGGGGCTCAGCCATGAGGGTACAAGACATTCTTTGTGCCGTATTCCGATTAGCCATACAGAGATTCTGAGCATGTTGACTGAACACTCCTGAGAAGGTGCAGGACAATTAATTCCCTATGCTGGCAGGACATGCATTACAAATTACATACACCCATGTAGCTACATGTTGCCTGCCCTGCTGAAGTTTACATGGATTTTTAAGGTCATGGGAAAGGGTTTGTTAAGGTAATGGCAACCCTGGATTGTAAGCTCTGTTGCCTAGTATTGCTATTTTTATGGCTCCATATACTACATGGTCTGGGATGAATAAACGCATGGGGAGTTTTGTCATCTAATTCATGAATAAATGCTTGAACAATCTTACAGCTTATCTGAAATGACTTTGTTAAAGTAAAGGTGGCAGAGTAGGGAGCAGCATTTTGTAACACACACCTGACTTACTGTCTGGTAGCCCACTACCATCTATCACTAGCCTCCATTCACACGAGCATTTTGTTGTGCATTTCTAGAAGAGAGAGTACACTCATCGTGAAGAATCTCCCGATTTTCAGTGCTATGCGTTTACACCTGAACGTTAAAGTTCATGAGCTTTTTTTCCCCCCAGCAGAAATGTGTGTTTTGGCCTCATAGACTTCAAGGGAAGTGCCTGGAAAAACATCTGAAGAATGCATGTAATGTGCGTTTTATATGAAATTTCACACCTAACAATCCCCCCCCCCTTTCACTATATGAGCTTCTGTTGGTGCAGAACGACATGTTTTTGGCCCAATAGACTTTAAAGAGGAACTGTGGGATTTTTTAAAAGTTAACCCTTGCAGTGGGGCTACCCCCTGCACTCCAAGGGTAATGCAAATTTTTCTCTAGGGGACAGAATAAAGAGAGATACTTACCTGATCCCCGGTCCTGCCTGTTTGCTAGATCGGGTTCCCACAGCCTCTTCTCCCCCAGGCTCAGGTAGTCTATAGCTGGCCATATACCTATGGATTATCTGCTGATTGGAGTGGATGGAGGAATCTCCCACTGGGCCAAGCTTCACTATCTTGCTAGTGGGCCTCGCTGGCCCGTTAGGCAGCGGGGCTGACTAACAAGATACTGAAGCTTGGCCCCGTGGGTGAGTATTTGTTCTTTATTCCATCCCATGAAGAAAAACAATCAGTTAACCTCTGCAGTGTAGGGATAGCCCTACTGTAAGGGTTAACTTTAAAAAAAATCCTGGAATTCTTCTTTCAAAGGAGTGTCTGATAAAAGCCGTTTTTTTACATGATTTAGCACCTTACAACTGTCTACTCCTCCTACTAACTACTAACTAGTGACTAAAAACAAAAAGATCAAGCCTGAAAATGTCTGAAAACCGTAGAAAAAAACATGAAAAAAGTTTTTAAATTGCCTGAAACCGCTCACATTTAAGTGTGAATGGGGCTCATAACAGTGCCATATATCTAATATTCGGGGTTTGTATACATGTATATACATACTTCTGAATGCTGGTTTTAGTACCTTTTTTATATAAAGTACATTTTTAAAGGTCTTTTAAACTGCACATAAGCCTTATCTACCCTGATGTTTTCTCATTCATGTGATGAGATTATATACACTGAGTGGCCAGATTATTATGACCACCCCATCAGTACTTCGTTGGGCCTCCTCGTGACTCCACGAGATGACTTCGTTGGGCCATGTGATGACTCCACGAGATGACTTCGTTGGGCCGCCTCGTGACTCCACGAGATGTTGAAAGGTGATGCGATGAATCTGACACTGCACTGTTGCCCTTCTGTTGTCTTGTACCAGTCTTGCCACTCTCCGTTCTGCCCTAACATTGACTAGTCGCTGACGGCCACAATTTGCACGTTCAGACCCAGATTTTTGGCTGACAGTCCAGTCTTTAAACACTTTAACAATGAGCCCCTCTTGAACATTTAACAAATTCTGCTGTTTTGCTGATACTCGCTCCATGGCTCCGAGCGCCAACAATCATCCCACGTTCAAAGGCTGTTAAATCGCGTTGTTTACCCAAATCTTCAGAAAAAAATCACTTCTACTGTCGTGGTAAACAACCTGATCCCGTATTTATAATGGTCTGGCCCTCTAGCAACTTCAGCGCGAAATGATAGCTAATTGTAGCTAATTTGCCTACAAACGTCAGGTGGTCATAATATATACACTAAGTAAATGGTGGAAAGCAATTGATGCTTCCAGTGTCACCTGTGACGGATACCGTCAGTAAAAGAGACTGAAGGAGGCACAAAAACTTTAATTTAAATATCATTCTTAATAGCCACAAAGGATATAAATGCACTTTGTGTGCAACAAAAGCCTTTGCAGATCCAGATTATACCCTGTAACAGTGACATCATCAATGTGTTGCACATAGCCTGTGTAGAGAGCAGAGCTGTGGGAGGGGTCCATCAGGCCACACCCACTATAGGCTACATGCAGAAAACTACAGGAGGGGCGGATACAAGACCAGTCACCCTGCACAAAGAGAGGGCAACAGTGACTGGTCTTTATTACCGGAAGCTGCAAAGAGAGAAAGTTTCACTGGATTACTACACCGATCTCGAAGACGCATGCTTCTTGTATTTCGATAATATTTGCTTATGTGTCTTTTTATTGCAGCTGCTCAGTGCTTAGGATCAAAGTACAGGAAGCTATGGGAGGCATGTCATGTATCGCAGCAGATCACAGACTTGTTGTGAAACAGCATGTGCAGAGTAGAAATATACCAGGGTTCATTTAATGCAAAGCACATGTATGTGCTTGAGGACATTTATGGCAATCATTTAAATCAAAGCTGTCTTCCCAACCGGATGCCCTGGCTTAGTATTTACAGTGACCTGCTGGAATTGTAATTGAAATAGCATGTATGCTAGTTTTACAAAGGGAACAACGTGCATGGAGATTTGTAGCATGGAGCCCATTTAAAATCCTCTCATTGTGTGTCTGATAATAAAAAGCTGCAATGGGCAGTTTATTGATCTCCACCTGCACATTCAACAAATGCCAGGAGCCAGGTAGCCAGGTAGCCAGTGGTCCCTGAAAATGACAGCTGGTGCCCGGCTTCACGGGTTTCCTCTACTTGTTGTCAATGAACAAGAAAAGTCTTCAGTGTGCGGTCAGGTTCAGAACGTGTGTGTGTGTGTGTGTGTGTGTATAATTTTTTTATTTTTTTTCATTTGAGCCCCCTAGAGCAAAACAAGGAGTTAACCCTTGCAGTGTGGGGGTCGCCTTGGCAGCAGTTAATTTTTGAAATTCCTGGAGTTCCTCTATAACATTCTCACTCTCAGATCTTCAATTATATAGCCAATCATTCTTATTACCAGTTAAAGGCACAAATGTTTGTTTAATCAGTACAGCTCAAGCACAGTGAAATTATTATTCCCTTTTCTGACAGAGGTGTGGTTTTCCCAGCAATGATAAGAGAAAGTATTGGCATGTCAAAAGAGATGCCTGTTACCACTGCAAACGTTTTAAGCTACTCTGAACCAGTCATTTGTAACCCCTGTATTACCAATAGTCGCAGGTAATGCTTACTACAAGTAGTGTCCCCTCAATATATATAAAGTGCATTTTGATGTCCGTACTTTGTCAGATCAATAAAAGTCTCTATTTGGCTGCTATGAGTTGCTCACTACCTTATCACAGATTTTGGCTATAGTTGTATACAGAGTTAACTCTTACAATTCATTCAGCGGCTTGTTTATTTTTTCATACTGATATTACTGATGATGTTTTTGCATGACCAGCCATTCTCAGCCAAGGTTCCATGCAACCTTAAAGGTTCCTGCTGGAGAGGTTCCTTGAGCTGTGGCTGATTAACCTTCCATTTGACCAGTTGCACTATCCTTGCACCATCCTGGACCAATGCCACTTGGCAGAGCCAGCGGTATGATACCAGTGATCTTTTTAGCTGTCTGTAAGGATGCCATTCTAACCATCAGTGTAAGGGATGGCATCCTTCCCTGACCATCAGTGCGAGGTACATTCTTCCCTGACCACCAATGAACTGGTATTAGCAGGTTACCCCTGAGATCTGAAAGTCATTTTACTGGTTCTTCTTGGGAGAAAAAAAGGTTGAGAAAAGCTGACTTAGACCATTTCTAGAATTAAGACATCTTGCTTACTAGCCTATTAAACTAGGCAAAGCACAGATTTACTGTACTGATGTCCGTATAGCTGTGGACACGGTCATGGGAAACAAACACTTTAACTGTGCTCAGGATAACAGTTCTTCATAAAACAATATTTATTCTTAGCGTGCTTTTTAACAGCAGCATAGAAGTTGCAAGCATCATTTCCTTCTCCTTTCTACTAAAATATCATACACTAGGATATTACTTAATAGTACTCACACATGTTCCCATTTAACTATTAATGGACATATTTTTTAATGTTATGATAATCTCTAATGTTACTGTATAGTTATTTTTAATACTGATAAGACAACACTTTAAAAGTTCTGATAAACTTATTAAATAAGCCCAAATATATACATTTTGCAGTCTCCTCCAAGATACAGATATTGCATGACGTATAGCTAAGCACACACGTTGGATGTAAAGACACTTACAGTGCAAGTGAAAGTTTTATATATACAGTATGTATTTCATCTGTGTTTTACGTTTTCCTGTAATTCAGCTTTAACTGCACTATGCTCCCTATTTTGGTACTTCTGGGGACTTTACTATACTGTGTATTTATGCCATGGCTGTATCACTGGCACTTTTGTAAGATTCTTTTGTTCTTCATTATAT